GGATTAAATATATAGTTTTTTTTTTTACTTTCAATGAATAGATCTACCCAGAGACATGTTCGTTGTAACGACCCGACCCGACCCGACCCGACCCGACCTCGCACCGAAGCCGTCATCATATCGTACGTACTTTCTGACACGTCCCCAGGATTCGAACCCAAAACCTCCATCATATGGGAGATTTAAGCTGAATCCTGGTACCAATTGGATAATTTTGTAACGACCCGACCTCGCGCCGGAATCGTTATCATATCGTACGTGCTGTTTGCTTTGGGAGAGCCTAGGCCCATCTTACCCCTCACGGCTTTCTGAGGCGTCCCCCAGAATTCAAACTCAAGACCTCCATCATATGAGATACTTAAGTTGAATCCTAGTACCAATTGGGCAACTTGCTCAATTCGTACACGATTCAACTAAAGCCTTTCATATGATGGAAGTCTTGGGTTCGAATCTTAGGAGAAGGGTCAGAAAACCCTGAGGGGTAAGATGGGCCTAATTTCTCCCAAAGCGGACAGTACGTACGATATGATAATGATTTTGATGCGAGGTCAGGTCATTACAAAAAAACAGACGTTTTTTTGTAACGACCCGACCTCGCGTCTGAGCCGTTATCATATCGTATGTACTGTCCACTTCGGGAGGGCCTACCCAATTGGTACAGGATTCAACTTAAATATCGCATATGATGGAGGTTTTAGGTTCGAATCCTGGGCGACACGTCGGAAAGCCGTGAGGGGTAAGATGGGTCTAGGCCCACCCGAAGCGAACAGTACATACGATATGATGATAGCTTCGGTGCGAGGTTTGGTCGTTACAAAAAAAATGCGCATTTTTTTGGTAACGATCGTACCTCACGCTGGAGCCGTCATCATATCGTACGTAATGTCCACTTCGGGTGGGCCTAGGCCCATCTTACCCCTCACGACTTTCTGATGCGTCCCCCAAGATTCGAACAAAGACCTCCAGGATTCAACTTAAGTCTCCCATATGATGGAGGTCTTGGGTTCGAATCCTAGGGGACGCGTTAGAAAGCCATGAGGGATAAGATGGGCCTAGGTCCTCCCGAACCGGACAATACGTACGATATGAT